GGAATTGGCCAGCAACTGCTGAGACAAACCACTCATTAGCCATCACAGGGGAATGTCAGCACTGGTGGATGTCTTCTTTGGCCTTCTCTTTTATTCCATACCAGGCTCAAAGCTTTTATTTTTCCCCTCTCCCTCTCTCTTGTTGCCCCATTCCCATCAGTGGGAAGGTATAATGATTAGCTGCTCTGTTGATGTCTCTGTTTAGTGCATAAACTCTCCTCTGCCCAACAACTCCTTTGTGCCTGTACAATAGAGCTGGGCCCTAAGCAGTGGCAGACTAAACTTGACTAATAAGGATGAACCATAACAAAGCACCCTGTAGGTCATCTCTGCTGAAGTGAACAGAAAGATAGCCATTGACATGCAGTGGGTTTGGACCACGTCCTACAACTGCTGCCAGCCAAGTGTCTCGTGTAAAATAAAATCTTCTTCCCCTTTGTTATTCATCACTGAAAGATTTTTGCAGCACAAAGTTTGAGACTTAATTACTGAATCCGAGTTTGCTGCATAGGATTCCGTTCCAGAGCAGTCCTTCAGTTTCCATGAAACGATTCATGTGGAAGAAAGTGCTCATTGTGAGAGGCAGAGCATGGCTCTTGGTGAAGCTGGACCAGTGGTGTTTTGTAACCACCTTAGCTTTTGGGAGCTTAGTCTTGACAAGGGAGAGTCATCCTTCTGCTCACTAGCAAAAAGCTTCTCACCATCCTGTAGATGTTCCTTTTCATGAGGTAAAAGGATTAATACAATATTAGATGTCCTCCCCTGCAGCTCCTGGTACTTTTTCTTCCACATTAGACCAGAAGAAACAAGATGTCAATGTCCACAACAGCCAGAACTGTTGCTTCCTAGCCTTCAGCAGGCTTTAGACTCAACAGGTCCCAGAACAGAGTGAAAGAACGTCATGTACAGAGCAGCTACTGCACTACCCCTGGACACAACTGGAGCAGAGAATAGGGTCAGACCTCCATGTACAGACCCACAGAGCTGCATTTGCATGGAAGAGGAAATTCCTCCCTAAGTGAGACATGTCAGACAGGGCAGAATCCAAGGCTGTAACTCTCAGAACTTAAGGGCAGATTTAAAAAGTGTGAGCTCACCTTGAAAAGATTTAAAAAAATAGAACAGGATGTACTGGATTTAGTGGGGGTGGTGTGGCATGGGTACAGCTACTCCCTCTCTCAAATATAAAAATTATGACAGGATATATAATTAAAGCTAATACAATTGATTTACATCACAAGAGTCCTAAGGATGAAGCCAGTTAATGGATTAATGTTATTCTCAGTGGATTGCTAGATAGCTGTGTCATTCTCCAACCATGACTGGTCCAGAACTGGCATTTCTGAATGACAGTAATCCAACTCTCAAAAGAGCACACATCTCATACTCGACTGACCAACTCATTTTCAGGTTATTATTTCTCCTTATATCTGGCAGTTGTAGAGGGACTGTCCCCTAAAACTTTCCTTGTTACATACATGCATTTCTAGGCAGTTTCTGAATGCAGAAGTATAAACTGTGGTGGTCCCAGTTATGCTATTGTGAAACAAAAACTCACAGTACATTTGCTGGATATACACTGAGGAGGAGTGGCATTCATTTCCTAGGACAGCTTTCTATTCCTGGCAACATCCATATCATATTTAAAATTGGCTTCAGGACTCCAGTCATGGAGTAGTCAATACAGAACACTATGTTATCCTAGTCCTATTTCTTACAAAAAGTAGAGGGAAATCAAACATGGTTCAGAAGCAGCAAAAAACCTACTGTCATCTAACAGACTCTGCCCTTGTGCTGCTCTCCTCTGAGCACAATGAATTTCTGTCCAAAACCCACAGTTACACAGACCTCCATCCCCCACACAGGCATTCCATCTAAGCAGCCAACACAGAAAGCCACAAAAAGCATTAGTTCAATATTAAAATCACCATCTTGCAAAGGGAGACAAACACTTTGCTACTCCAACTGCCTGCATAACATCAATGACTGATTTTGACCAAGTAATTCCTACATCTAGTACCATGGACATGATTAAATTCAGCACAGACTCCAACTCAATGCCCAGGTGGATTTCATGGTAGTTATGATCTGCAATGCCTGACATGGATTTGGGTTGTCTCTTGAGACCTACTGTCCTCCCTCCACACAGGGCAGCCAGACACTGACTAAAACAATCAGCCACAGCATCTGGAACCCTTCCTGGGCACTAAAGGAATGCTTGATACCTGCAAGGTAAAATTATATTTTCTGATTATTGTCTGCTTGGGAGGAAGAGCAGCTGTTGACTCTGTGAAATAAGGCAATATCTGTAATTTCTTTGCAAATGCTCCTAAAGCTGGAATAAATCATTAGTGGATAAATGTTAATAAATCAACAGTATTCACTCCATTTCTGCTGCATCTTTGGGACTAACTGATTGAGCAATACTTCTGGCTGTGAAATTGAGCAATACTTCTGGACTCTGATCAGTAGAAAAAGGACAAACGAGACACAGCAGCTCCTGGAAGAGATTTGAGCTGTTCAGCTGTGCAGAGCCAGGATTCACACACCAACCTGCAACAGCAGTAGACCATTAGGAACACCTGTACCATGGTGCAAGAGCCTTTATCCCAGGCTCAGTCTCTGGGACTCACTGTGCTAGGGAAAGCCTTCCCTGGTGCGATCCTCTGAGCAATTTGTGCAAAATTGTTTTTATCACAATCATTTTCAAATGCATGTAACCTGTTTTGAACAGTTTTCACTTTAATATCACTTGATTTGGTGTATTAATTCATACTGTGGAAGGTGCATTTACACTGCACAAAGCACTTAGCATCTCTACACATGTCACTAAATGAGGGTGATAATTATGCATAAGAAATTCTGGCATAGATAATAAGATACTGAGCAAAACCAAGTTTTATTTGTCCAAATGCAGGAACAGAGTTACTTGGTAGAGTAACGTGAAGAAATGTGTTTCCGAGTGCTAAACAAAACTGACCCAGGACAGCTCCTGCAGCATGTCCTGAGGTTATCAAAACCATGTTTCAGGAAAAGGCAAACGTAAGACACCACTCAGCTCCAGAATCTTTAGCTGCACCTCTCCCACAACACTACTCTTCCTGCTTTCTCTGAATCACCCTCCGTGGCCCTCAAAGCACCACTTGGCAGTGTCTGGGCAGGCACACGTTTCAGTGCCATGAAGGGATGACGACTCAGCCCTTGCCCAGTTGCTCTGCCAGACCCACTGCACACCCACAGCACAACAAAACTTGCACTGAGTTGTCTGTGGCTGAGTTACCATGCACATGATATCTGCACCTGTGGGAAGGGGAAGGATGACATCTCAAGTCAGCAACACTCCTCTCCCCCTCTCTTTTCCAGACACAAAATAATTTAGCAAGGAGAGAAGTCAGTGGAGTGCAGCCTAGCACCTTTTCCCAAAACCCCAGAGGAGAAGGGGCAGCTGGCAGGGCACTGGGGGCACATGTGCCATACCCACAGTTTGCCCAGAGCCTGAATACACCAACACAAATGAATAGCAAGCTGGATTTTGCTTTTTACATGTGCCCCATTTGTGCTGGGCTGGGCTGAAGAGCTGCAGAGACAGCCTTGTTTCAACTGTGGTTTTGGAGACACCTTGCTGAAAGAGCAGATAAATTAATTAGCTGAATGCTCTGCATTATAGCTCTTGGAGCCACTCTATGGCAGCAGAGCCACTGAGGGATGGGGAGATGGATGGGTCTCCACAGCAGGCCCTGACACAGTGACAGGCAGAGATCATCCTCCACATGACCCACACAGCACTCACAGGGCCAAATTTCTCTGAGCAGTTCTGCCCTAAGTACAGCCACTGCAGCAGTCCTGCTGCTGCACCTAATAACTCACCTGGGGGACTGCAAGGTTTATTTATTTAATAATTGCAATACACGACTGAGAGCTTTGAAAGTTATTTTTCCAAGTGCAGTGTCTTTTTCTTTGGATTATCCTATTATTTTGCAATGTTTCCTAACATACTGTTTTCTTCCTGCCAGGTCACGCTGGTTTTTGTTGTTTTTAAAAAAGAATTTAAATCTCTTAAAACGTTTCTTACAACCACTCCCACTTTACACATTCTTTTAAACCCTACATTTATAGAACACAGGCTTTTAAATGGTTTCAATATGTCTTGGATTCCTATATTCACAGACTACTTGAATAGTTTCCAGAACCCAGTTCTTACAAAAATAAAAGTACAAAAATGCTCCAGGAAAATTCAAACCAGTCACCATTAAGAAGACTATTTTCCAATTATTGAAATACTTCAAACTTATCATAGCCCTTTTCATTTGGTTCTGGGATTGAATGTGAAAAAAAGGATATTTTTAAAAAACAAACCATAGAATCACCAAAGTTGGAGGAGACCTCTAAGATCACCAAGTCCAACCATTAACCTGCCACTGCTGTA